AAAAGGAGGAAAGGGCTAGATCCCACGATCCCCCCCCCGCCCCGACGGCTCACTCCCAATGACATACAGAAGACCCCCAGTAGGGCCAGGCACCATGGCTCACGCCTGTGATCCCAGCTGCTCTGGAGGCCGAGGCAGAAGGATCGCTTGTTTGATACAGCCTCCGCCACTTAGCCTGACCCTGTCTCCAAATAAAAAATAAAAAGGGCTGGGGATGTGGCTTGGTGGCAGAGCACCCCTGGGTTGCACTGTCAGTATCAAAAAAACCACCACCTCCCACCGGACACCCCTGGAACACTCCACCCCTCCACTGCCACTCGGGGGACCGAGCCTTTAACCTTCCGGGGATACTTAAGACCCAAACAACAGCGCTTGTTTTTTAACTTTTTTATCTTGCAGATTTCAAAATAAAACTATAGAGATGAGTCTAACAAACCCCACAGCCTGTCATCCAGCTTAAATAATTTGCCACTCAATCTCGCTTCCTCTGCGCCCCACCTGGGCTGTGGTCTCCATGTTATGAGGCGACGGCTCCCAAAACACACTAAGCCCGAATTTGGAACAAATCAAAGAATTTTATTTTACCTATATTTTCCTGGCCAGGGACACTTCTGCCAGGCCCAAAAGGCCTCTGATAGACGCGCACCAGGCTGTCTGTGGTTCCAGTCTTTAGGGAAGAAGACCACATCCTGAGGAACCTGTGAATTGCAAGCAACAGGGTCCAGGGGCCAAGAAAAGCAGTGAGCAGAGCAGTCAGACAGCCGCGTCCCGGGTTCGAGCGCAGCTGTGGGCCACATCCTGGGTTCAAGTCCATTACAGATGCATGAAGCACAGAAAAACAAATTTTAAATACTTTTTTTAAAAAACAGCTTATATAAGAGTTTCACATGGGAACCATGAAGATGGAGGAGTAGCCATGGTGATGGCTCTACTCACTATTTATCTATATTCTTAATCTATATCCTATAATTTATTACTTGTATTGATTAATTCAGACCATAACCTCCTCTCTCCTCATCCCACAGTGATTTTGAAGCAAACCCTAGATCATCATTTCATTTTAGCCCTCAATATTCAGTATCTGTCTAAAGAGAGTTGTTGTTGTTTTTAACAAAACTTCAATACAAAATAGATATATGTTATAACCATTGGGTACAGCGGATAGCAAATGCTAGTAACCAAAGACCCAAGAGAATTAACTAAAAGAAACATCAAGAAAAGTTTAGATGTTGGCAAGGATGTGGGAGAAAAGGTATACCCATACATTTCTGGCAAATTGGTACAACCATTATGGAAAGCAGTATGGAGATTCTTCAGAAAACTTGGAATAGAACCACCATTTGACCCAGCTAGCCCACTCCTCCATTTATACCCAAGAACTTAACATCAGCATACTACAATGATGCAGCCACATCAATGTTTATAGCAGCTCAATTCACAATACCTAAGTTATGGAACCAACATAGGTGCCCTTCAACCGATGAATGGATAAAGAAAATGTGGTATATATACACAATGGAATATTACTGAGCCATAAAGAAGAATAAAATGATGGCATTTGCTGGTAAATGGATGGAAATGGACAATATCATGCTAAGTGAAATAAGCCAATCCCAAAAGACCAAGTCCAAATGTTCTTTCTGATACGCGGATGCTAACACACAATAATGTCGAGGGGGTAATAAAAGGCCATTGGATTAGACAAAGGGGAATGAAGAGAAGGGAGGGGGATGGGAAAGGGAAGACAGTGGAATGAATCAGACATCACTTTCCTATGTTCATACACAACCAGTGTGACTCCACATCATGTCCAACCACAAGAATGGAAGTTATACTCCTTGTATGTCCAGTGTGTAAAAATATACTCTACTGTCGGGTATATCTAAACATATTAAAGAACAAATAAAAATAAATAAAACATATTAAAGAATAAATAAAAATAAGTAAAAGAAAAGATGAAAAAAAGAGTTTAGAAAACCATTGAATATGAAACAAACAGTTATGTGCCAGGCACTGTTTCAAGCAAGGTGTGTACATATCTACCTGTCTAGATACACATTAGTCTTACAAGATGGAACCATTATTTATATTTTACAGAATATGAAACAAGCCCAGGGACATTAAGCAACTCACCCTCAATTGTCTTGTTGGGGTAGAGCTCAAATCAGGAAATCTGATTCTAGAGTCCAAACTCGACTTTTACAATATATCACCCATTGTCTCCCCATCGAGATCTTTCTTCTATATAAGCAACACCAAGTTCGCAAACAAGATACAAAAAGGTTTGTGTTTATTCATCATAGAAAAAAAAAACGCCTGCAAATAAATTCAGGAAGATAAATACAAGATATAAGAAGAAACTCTCCAAGTCTGACGGAGAGAGTTAAGACACAGACAGACATGCTGTGTTGCTGGCTGTGGGAAAGGAAGCTGATCTCCCAGACGGAGCCACCAGTCCAAAGAGGACAGAATCGTAACAGGATGCTTTGTTAGCTCATCTTCCTTTTTTTCTTTTCAGTTATTTTTCTTGCCAATGTTTCCACTTAAGATAATAAACCATTAGTAATATTTAATTTAAAACCGACTTTGTCTTTTGTTTGGTCTCTTTATTTTTCTCCCTTTCACAAAGTGATAATGTTTACTTCCAGGAATCCAAATCCTGGTTTCACCTGAATGTTACAGGAGGATCATGAACCCATTCTAAACAAATGCCCGTCTGCCCCAAAGATTTCCCTATTGGCTCTTTGGAGATTGGCTGAGACCCAAATTTCATACTGAGGTGTTGAGGCCAGGATTTGGGTGAGAGTTAACATTCACTGAAGAGCAAGAAGGGCATGAACCCATGTGCTAGAAAGACAAAGTGAAGAGTTGCGTGAGGATACAGGGAAAATGTGACCTGTCCGCTGGATATTGGGGGAGGAATTCCCAGGGTTTCAGCATTTAAGATTGTAACACTGGCCAGGAGCAGTGGTGCACACCTATAATCCCAGCTACTAGGGAGGCTGAGGCAGGAGGATCACAAGTTCAAGGCCAGCCTCCACATTTTTTTTTTTCAGGCGAGGAAGGTTACTGGGGATTGACCTCAGGGGCACTCAACCACTGAGCCACATCCTCAGCCCAATTTTGTATTTTATTTAGACACAGAGTTTCACTGAGTTGCTCAGTACCTTGCTTTTGCTGAGGCTGGCTTTGAACTCTTGATCCTCCTGCCTCCGCCTCCCGAGTCACTGGGATTACAGGCATGTGCCACTGTGCCCAGCTCAGCCTACACAATTTAGCAAGACTCTGTCTCAAAAATTTTTAAAGGGTCAGGGAGAGCTGGGATTGTGGCTCAGTGGCACAGCGCTCATCTAGCATGTGTGAGGCCCTGGGTTCGATCCTCAGCACCACATAAAATAAATAAATAAGATAAAGGTATTGTGTCCAACTACAACTAAAAAATAAATGTCTTTTAAAAAAAAAAAAAAAGGGTCAGGATGTAGTTCAATAGTAGAGCACCCCTGGGTTCAATTCCTAGTACCTAAATAAAAAATTAAGATCTTGACACTGATGTTCCGAATCACATCTAATAATGAGGTTTTTAATCTGAATTAATATTATTATTATAGTCTTACAGCTCCAAAGATTAACAACCCACTCAGGGAACGCCTTCTTAATTTCCAAGACTTCACATTCTTGGTTTTCTTCCTCCCCAGTCCTTTAGCTGATCTCTCCTACAGCCTTGAATGGACCTCGACTCAGCCGATCCTCTTGTCTTCCTCCCGTCTCTCTGGCGTAATGTACCAGGCCTGTGCATTCCCAAGGAAGGCCGTGTTCACCATCAGCCTGTGGCCGGCTCCTGAGCACTGGCCCTGCCGGGTTCTACCTGGTCAGGGTGTCTTGCCTGCTGAGCCCTGGAGCTCCGCCCTGCAGGTCTGTCAAGGGACTGCATGCGAAGGCTGTGATGGCCAGTCACCCAGGCACAGGTGCTGATGGGACTTGGCCCAGGTTTGGGTGAGCCTCCCTGGTGGCCAACGCTTACCACATGTTGTCACACATCTTGCTGGGGATTCCCACGTGACTCCAGTGACCACAAACACTTGGAAATCTGTGCACGGGGTCCTCTGTGCCTTTCCCCTTTGCTGGTTTCTCTCTCTATCCTTTTTCTGTAAAAGCTGCAACCAGGGGCATAAGAACTGGGTCCTCTGAATCCCTTTAGGTGTTTTTAGGGACCCCGTAAGTTTAAATCCTACTGACAACTCTCGATGTGTGTCTCCAGCCCTGATCGCCCCAGACTTTCAGGAACCATCGCCTACCTGATTCCCTGATTCTCAATTTAGCTGATCCAAGCTTTCTCTTCCCTCCCTGTCCCACATTGACCCTCCCCAGTGACCTGCCCGTCACGCAGTTGCTCTGGCAACAAAGTTCAGAATTCTCCTCCCCTCCTCACTCGTCTCCCCCTCACCCTCTCCGTCCCTGCACCCCTAAGAAATCTCAGAATCTCCTGCCTCCCCTCCCCCTCCCCCAGGAGCCTCAATCCCTTGTTTCATTCCACGTTTTCTTCCCGTCATTTCCTAGGAGCTCCTTGTCCTGATCCTCTATAATGATTCGAAAGGCCACCGCCTGTCCAGCCCTTGCAGATGTCCCCTCACATCCCTGGCTGCCGTGGGCTCATGCTGCTCCCCCGCTGCTGGGTTCACCAACAGCGTTGGCTCAGCCTCAAGAGCCAACCGTGGTACCCGCAGCTGCTGAGCCTCGAGCCCGGCCCTCCACTTCCAGTTCCAGGGCCGTCACCTTCCCCTGTCCCTGAGGCTTTTAGGAAAACATGAGTCCAAAGCCTGAGATTTGGTGAGGGCCAGGTTCCGAGGCCCGACCCACACACTGGAGTAGAACATTGCAAGGTCTGCAGAGGTGATGGGGATGGCTGGGCTCGATGTTGGAACAAGGTGTCCCTGAGGTCACTGAAGGCATGAGTGAGGGTGGTTTCTCCAGGACTTCTGAAGAAAAGAGGTCTGCTTCCGTTAGACCGACGGGTTGATTCGGCAGTAAATGTCGGGCTCCGGATTCACAAGTGTCTGTTAAACAGAGAGAACAGTGAGGTCCCCTTGCCTGCTGTGAATTTCTGGCCTAGTCGGCTGTGGTCTGGGGCCCAAGCAGCCTGGACGCTCCTCTCCCATCCTTGGAAACTCCAAAGGTCTCTTCTCACTACAGTCACCCTGTTACCTCTGTGTTTCTGGAACGGCCCACACTCTTCCCCACTGGGGCAGACACATTCTAAGTCGACCCCATAATGCCGACCTCTTGACATCTGTGCAGCTGTGAATTCCTCCCCTCCAGGGCAGCACCTGTGACCCGCTACTAAGCAATACAGTATGGCAAAGGTGACAGGATGTGATGATTTTGCCATGTGATTCCATACATATATAATGTGGTGCTGAGGATTGAACCCAGGGCCTCGCTCTTGCTAGGCCAGGGCTCTACCACTGAGCCACAGCTTAGCCCAGCCCATGTGATCCTTGACATAAGATCACATCTTCCATCTTGGCTTTGAAAAAGCCAGATGCAAAGTCGTGAGCTCCCTATGGAAAGTGACATGTGGCAAAAGATTGAGGGTGGTCTCTAGCCAACAGTCAGTAAGAAACTGCAGCCCTTGTTCGGACCGCCTGCAAGGAACTGAGGCTACCAGTAGCCACGTGAGCTGGGACGCAGATGGTCCCCCAGTCAAGCCTCAGATGAGACCTGAGCCTTGGCCAGCACCTTCAGTGTCACAGAAAGGAGTGGACTGAACGGAAAGGAATGAAATAGGAAAGAGGTGGAGGGGACGCAGGGGGGTGGGATGGAATCCAAGACGTGGAGAAGGACAGGAGAGAAGGAGCAGGGTCCAGTGGACTGGAGTAACACTAAGTGGAATGGGGGTAAGGGTTGGGGGTAACGTGCTACGGAGGGACACGGGGGAAAGTTAAATGGATAGAAAGGAAATGGACGAGTGAAAAGGAGTTCTGTGGAAGCCCCGATGGAGTACACGGGCCACGCTGAAAAGGGATGGATGGGATCAATCAGAAACGGACGATGGGAACCGGTGGACGGGAGTGAAAGGCTTTTCAGAGGGGAATCTGTTCACCCCGTCAGACCCTTCAGTAGGGGAAGGACGCGGAGGGTGACCACTCTCCACGTGTCTGAAGAGGGGCACCAGATACCTCATAGCTGTCGTCTGTGTCTTCTGTTGATAGGGGAGGGACCAATGCGTGCATCGGAAGTTTGGGTGGTGGCTTCCTGGGGCTGGGAGACTGGTCCCTGGGGGTTGCTGAAGGTGGCTCCTTCTGCAAGTGAGCAGAGAAATCTATCAGCAGACGTCGTTTTCCTGGAAGATACCAACTACGCTCCTCAGAGACCCAGAGAGAGGACGGGGTCCACCCAGCTTCTCGCAGAGAGTCAGAGGAGGAAGAAGGGTTAGGACCAGGCCTCTGCTGGCCCAGACTCTGTCCTTTCTCCCACGGGCTCTGGACCCCCCCACTTCCAGCCCCAGCATGTAGAATCCAGCACCCCCCCCCCACGGCAACCCATCCCAAGCCCTGGAGGTAGAAGGAACCAAGAGGGGCCAGTCTGACCCAGCTCCCTGTGAGACCAGGGCTCGTTTCTCCCCATCCATGACCCTGCAATGGACCACAGATGGTTCAGAGAAGACGGCTTCTCAGGCCTGACACACAGAAAATTCTCAGCTGTCTTTCCTGGGCCCACATACCTCATAGAACTGCTCTGGGAGACCTGATGGCACCTTCTAGGGGAAAATAAAGTAGTAAGGAGAGATCACAGGGCTTGGGATGGGGGCCATACCTGGAAATTCTCAGAAATAGATTTGGCCTCAAAGGTAGTTAAATTCCTTTGAGGTGGCACAGGCCTGTAATCCCAGCCTCTTGGGAGGCTGAGGCAGGAGGATCTCAAGTTCAAGGGCAGCCTCAGCAAGAGGCCAGCCTTAGCAAGACCTTGATTCAAAATAAAATATAAAAAGGGCTGGGGAGGTGGCTCAGTGGCAGACACCCCTGAGTTCAATCCCTAGGATAGGAAAGGGGGAGGGGGAGGTAGTTATGTCCCTTCTGATTCCCAGAGGGACCAAGTCTGGGCACTGTCATATTAAAGAGCAAGAAGACAAGAAGAAGAGATGAACAGGCAGAGAAGGTCTTGAGAGCCTCGGAGAAGGCAGAGGAGGAGATGCAGAGACCCAAGCTGGCCCTGGGGGTCCGCCAGAGAACACACCAGCCCCCCGCCCTCAGAGAATTGCGACCGCCCTGCTGGTCTGGGAAGGGACGGAAAGTCAGAGGGTCATTGAGGTCCCTTTGGAGCACACCCACCTTTTTGGCTCCGATCTGTCCCTGGGGCTCGGGTATATTGTCATACACAGGCCTTGGTTTGTCTAGAGGAAGTAAAATCCCAGCCCAGACCTGGAGTTAGAAGAGCTGGACAGGAAGGGGCTGTCTGTCCAGGACCCACCTCCTCAGTTCTCCCCCTTACATCTCTGGGGAGCTTGGCCAAGGAACGTCCTGGAAACCAAGTTCTGGGTCACACAAGGCTGCTCCATGACACCGTGGGGACAGAAATCTTAAGTCCCCGCCCTGGTCTCTGCTTGTCCCAGGTGTCCTCTCTATCAGTGGAGCTGGACCCGGCAATCTCTAGGGGGCCTGGCACATCTTTCCAGAAACCCAGATCCACAGAGGGCAAAGGTGTCGCCAGCAGAGGGCACTCGAGGCTCGGGGTCCAGGCGGAGCGTGAGCCTGGATTTGGGATCAGCAGGGAGCACGGAGCTCGCCTGGCTCCGGCTTTGACAGCAATGAACCAGATTCCCTGAGACCCAGGAAGGAGAAAGGGCTGGGTGTCGCCCTGCGAGTGCTGGGGACACTGAGGCTCGGGGAGGTCAGGACTTGCCTGTGCCCAGTCCCTCGGTGGCAGAGCGGGGACGAGAGGCCAGAGCTCGCGGCTCCTGCTCTTCCCCGCCCCCACGCATGGGCCACGACGTCACTTACCGAAACTGGGCCGTGTCGCCTGCTCCCGCGCGGAGGTGGGTGGTGTGGCCTCGGGGCTGGGGCCATCCGCTGATCCCTTTGAGGACCTGAAACGCCAGATCCCTTGTCATCCCGCACCGCTGGCTCTTGCTCCTCTCCACGAGCTCCATCCATATCCCACGTCCATTCTCAGACGACGACCCGGGCTCTAAAGTCCCCAGGGGCCGCACGCGCGGCTCAGCACCGTGGTCCGCAAACCTCCCACCAGGTGGCCCTGCGGGCCACGCCCCGTCCCCTTCCCAGTCTTACCATCTGGCTTTTCTGCTGTAGAAGAAATAGCCCAGGCCTATGACCAGAGCAATGGCAACCAGGATCCCAATAACAATGCCAGCGATGGCCCCTGCCGACAGGGAGGACTCCGGATCTAGGGAGAGAAAACCAAAACCCAGGCTTGACACACCCTCGCCCCATCCCCAGCCCCAGCCCTAAGCTTGCGGCTTCATCTTCACCGACATTTGACAAATACTTGCTTTTCAGTCACGAGGGGGCAGCTGCACTGTTTCTGGAGTCAAGTGACCTGAGTCCAAATCTCAGCTGGGCCCAAATGCAGCCACCAGGATTGGGAGGGCCGAGGGTGAGGGGCATGAGGAAGGGGCTCTGCTCTGAAGGGGTCTTCCTGAGATGCCTTGGGGGTTCGGAGCTTTATTCCGAGTCTCCATTTCTTTATGTGAAACAAGGATGTCAATTGCTGACCCTACACATTTTTGCACATATTTTTTGAGGGGATGAAATGGATCGTGCACAGAAGCACCATCCACTGCCTGACACATCAGAGGTGCCCAATGAAAAAATGATGACAACAATGAAAGACGTTGCTATCTAGCAGCACTAAGCACCATGAGCCTTTCTATGAGCTCTCTCTCAAAATCTGGAACTTTCCCATGAGTGTCAATCAAACCTCTAACTCCCTGGTCCTCTTCTGAGCCTGTTGTCCACTCACAGGACCAAAGGGTTGCACTGGAGATTAAAGGAGGTCATTTGGGAGCTGCATGGGGTCCTCAGCTTAGTGGGCAACCAAAGAACACCGCTGTGAGGCGGCCAGTCTGGTTTCAAACCCCAGCCACAAGCCGCAGTGGCTCATGCCTTCATTCCAGCGGCTTGGGAGGTTGAGGCAGGAGGATCGAGAATTCAAAGCCAGCCTCAGCAACTTAGCAAGACCCTGAGCAACTCAGCCCGACCCCATCTCTAAATAAAATACAAAAAATTGGGGGCTGCCCCATCTCTAAATAAAATACAAAAAATTGGGGGCTGGGGGCTGGGGATGTGGCTCAGTGGTTAAGGGCCTTGGGTTCAATCTCTGGTACAAAAAGTAAAAATCAAACACCAGCAACAGGGTTGAGTCTCTAAGTCTGTCCCTTTGAACAATGGAGGTGCTAACAGGCTGGCCTCATACTGGCTGGCAGAGAGCACCTAACAAGTATTTTTTGATACTGTATATGGAAAGGTTTGGTTCAGGCATGTAGCACAGGCTCAATAGAGAATAATTTTATTTGTTTAACAAAAACAACATATCAAGTACAAACATAAGGACTTTATAAATATTAATTAATCTTCAACAACCCTAAGAAATAGGTCCAATTATTGTTTGTTTTACCGATAATAAATCAGAGGCCCAGAGATGTTAAGTAAGTTGCCCAAGATCACACAGCTAGTAAGTACTGGAGCCAGGATGTGAATCTCAGTAGCTAGCAACACTATGCTGCCTTCTCAAGACCTCAAGACAGTTCTTGACAAGTCCAGTTGTTATTAACGTGATTCCTGATCCTCTCCACCATCCCTCTACCTCTCCCACGGGCTATCTCCTGATGCGTTGTCTTTCTAAATACCTCTGATAGGTGGGTGTCACAAACCCACTTGCAGGTAAGAAAACTGAGGCTCAGAGCAAGCAGGCTGCAGAATTGACCAGGGCACACAGCAAGAAACAGAGGGTTTGGGATTCAAAGCTCCCGACCGGCCGGGAACTTGCAGTACATTCGCTGTCACAGGGTAGGTGGCTGGAGCCAGCAAGGCAGAGGCCACCCGGATCCCAAGGAAAGACGCACCGGAGAGACTCACCTACTTGGATCAGCACAGAGGCAGAGCGGGCCAGGCCGGTCAGAGAGTTCGAGGCTGTGCAGCTGCAGATGCCCTCGTGCTCCCGGGTCAGAGCCCTGATGACCAGCTGCTCCCCCGTGTACACCCCTGAGTGGTGTTCCAGGACCCAGCGGTATTCCGCCTCTGGCTGGGACGCGGCCCGGCACTGCAGGGTCAGGCTGGAGTTGAGCTTCCCTTGGACGGTGCCCACCACAGCAGGCGGAGACCCGCTGGTGATTTCCACTCCGTCAGGGCCATCTGCAGGCAAAGCCACACGTCTGCCAAATGACCCCATTCTCCCCTTCCCTCTTCCACATTGTAAATGGTGCTTCCCCTGCCCCAGCCCCTGCTCAGCTGGAACTGAGGGAATTCCAGTCTGCAGCCGGGAGACAGCGGAGACAGCAGCTGTCTAAGTTGAAAAGAATCAACTGTAGGGAGGAGGCACATAGAGATAGGGGTTCATCTGTAATCCCAGCAGCTAGGGAGGCTGGGGCCGGAGGATCATGAGTTTGAGGCCAGCCTCAACAACTTAACAAGACCCTGTCTCGAAATAAAAATAAAATAAAGAGCCAGGGTGTAGTTCAGTGTTAGAGCGTCCCTGTGTGCAATCCCTAGTACCACCAAAAAAAAAAAAAAAGTGGGGGGAAGAAAGAAAGAATGGAATCTTAGTGGAAGAGGAGGGAAATGCTCCCCCTTTGTCCTGAGCTGTGTGACAAGCAGATACTGGTCCCCACCATGGGATGGAAATTGCCATTACACAGGAGAATTCTCTCCAAGGAACCTCACAAGGCGCCAGGCTTCAGAAAGCCTCTGCTCTCTGAGCACGCAGCCCCCAAGCACCAATACTGTGGATTCCCAATGACATAAACATGTGGCAAATTTTCTTCACCACTCCAGCGGGGAACCGCTGGCTCCGAGCTCTCCTATGTACATGAAGTCGCAGTTGGATTTCCATCCCAACTAAAGGAGTCTGGAAGCCAAGCCTTGCTCAAATTCATGAAAGAATGCATTTCCCGTCTTCTGGAAAGACGTGTGCACGGTGTCTTGTTGGGATATTCTAGGAGAAGAAAGCCCTGCCCATGCTCCTCCCCAGCATCCTTTGAATCTGTTCTTTCCTCCCCATCTGAACCCCAGGACCTGACCTGCTTCCCTCGCTGTGCCCAGCCCCTCCTGGACTCTGCATCCCAGGCTCCACCTCCACCCAGCCCCCAGAGGGGTCTTCCTGGGCACAAACTTGATGCCATGGCTTCTCGGCTCAGAACCTTCCATGACCCCCCCCCACAGTGTCCTTGGGACAAAGTCCAGGGCTGATGAGGTCATTCATAACGTGAATGACCCTCTTAGACCTCTCCAACCCCGTCACCCACCTTTCCACATTTCCTGCTGTCATCCCGGAGCAAGATCCTACCAGAGACGCCACCAGGCCTGTCACGCTGCGTTGCTGACCCCTGCTCATCCTCCAGTTGCACGGGGGACCTCAGCTCTCACAATGGCCTTCCCACATCCCTCGTCTGGGGCTTCCTTTGGGCTCCCAAACCCCCCCCTCTTTCCCCACATAGCAGCATTGATTGTTCGGTATTTCGTTTGCCTGCTTTACCCACCTCCCATCCCCGGGAGGCCGTGACACTGGGAATCGTGATGACCGACTGCCCGCCCTGTTGCCTGGCCCAGAGGACACAAAATAAATATTTTTGCTTCACGATTAAAGTAGGAACGAATGGAGAAGGAGCAACAGAGAAGACATGTTCTTAACCCCTGCTGCTCAACAGGTGGAAAAGTGAACCCCAAAGCCAGGCACACAGCGGCGCACGCCTACGATCCCAGCGGCTCAGGAGACGGAGGCAAGTTCAAAGTCAGCCTCAGCAACTTAGCAAGGCACTAAACGAGACCCTGTCTCTAAATAAAATATAAAAGGGGGCTGTGGATGTGGCTCAGGGGTTGAGCGCCTCTGGGTTCAATCCTCGTACCAAAAAAATAGAAAAAGTGGACCCCAACTTTGTCTCCCTGCTGAAACCTCTTCTCCCCAGTCTTTCCATACCAGTTCTTGGCTCCTCCATCCTTAGGTAGCTCAAACAAACAGGCCTGGAGGCCGCTCGCCTTCCTGCCCGCCTGCCCGCCATCGACCCCCGTCTGTGTGGGCCAGGCCAGGGCTCGACCCTGCGCCACATCCCCAGCCCTGGAGCCGCTGGGGACGCTTCCCTTCCGTGCCACGTCTCATCTCCCAGCAGCAGACCTGTGAGTTCCCTGCCCTGAATCCACTGACGGCTTCTTGTTACCCCACAGCGGTGGTGGCTCGGTCCCAGCCCCGTCTCCCCTCACTGGACGACTGTGGCCACCATAAGGCACCTGGAAGACCTCCAGTGGGAACGGTGTGACGGACCCAGGGCGCAGCTACAGGCTGACATCCACCCTCATCCTGCCAGGAGCTGCACCTGCCAGCATCTCGGGGCGCGGGGGAGGCACCCCTTCCTGGGGGACCTGGGGGGTGACCCCCAGCCTCTGCTGCCGTCAGCGCTGCCATCCCACCCCCCCCCCCCCCCCCCCCCCCCCGGCCTCTCAATCCGATGGCTTCCCGGCCTCCATGGCTCCTGCCAGGAACATTTTCCCCAATAACACCCCGGCCTGTGCCTCCCACTGAACCCCACCCCAGGGCTGCTCTGCCAAGGACGGAAACACAAAGCCCCTGTCGGAACCTCCGTCTCTCCCGCTTCTGCCCCTGCCTTGTCGCAAACGGGCCAGCGGGTCCCTGTCAACACCTGTCTGGTCCTGTCCTTGGGTGGTAGCAGCGAGCAATGAGCCGTGAGATGCAGGCCAGGTCACCGGCTCTTTGAATCACTCGAGGGTCTTTACACTCCCTCCAGAGTAAACAGGAAAGCAAAGTGGTAGTTAATTTGTAGAAAAGAAAGAGACGCAAAAGGAGCTAATCGGAAATGCGTCAAGAGAAAAGGATTCGTGGGACTGCCTCGGACAGGGCCCCCGGATGTGGACTTGAGGCCAGGGGCCACGGCTCAAGGGGTCTCCATTTGTCGGGGGACAAAGATTCCTTTAGTAGCTCGGGCCACTAACTTCTGACCAGCTACTGACCCCAGTACCCCCATTACATGGAATTGACGGGTAGATGAAGCCCCCCAGGTAGGATGGCCACGGTGACAGTTCCAGAGAAGACCAACACAGGTCAGAAGCTCCCCACCCACCGTGACGGGGGAGGTGAACACCCGATTGGTGAGGGTTGCTGACGGGCCACCCCAGTTTTCAAGTTAACATACACAGTGACGAAGTTGGGGATAGCACTGTCCCCTCCGCCGTCCTCTGCCTGGAGACGGCCCCACCCTTCCTTGCAGTGCTTGGGCTGAAGCGCCCCTTTCCGTGGGCTTTGTTTTCTCCTCCCTTCACCCCTAGCCAAGGGCTCTTGGTGACTTGGGTCTGACCCTCCACCTTCCTCTTCGCAGCACAAGAGCTGAGCTCTGGAGGGTCAGCGCCCTGCTCTCCCGCGACGCTTCCTCTGCTCAGAGCTCCTGGGGCTCCCGCTATGGCCCATGGGGCCAGCACCTCCTGGTCCTCACCCGGTCACCGCGCCACCTGGCCCTCACCCCGTCACTGGCCACCTCCTCCCCTCCCACCCTCGATCACTCCCCTGCCTCCTGCAGTTCCTCCAACACACCAAGCACGGTCCCCCCTCACGGTCCCCCCTCACGGGCCGTCCCTGCCCCTGAGGTTCTTGTCCCTCAGCCACTGCCTGAGACATAAAGTCCCCCAGGACAGGCAGTCTGTCTTGTCCCCGCCCAGGCTCACGGCTGGCATGGAGCACGTGGTGAGTGAGTGGAAACAAGAACCTGGAGGGAGGAGGACGCGGTCACCACCCCGGGCCACTCACAGTTGATGGTCAGCGTGAGGGGGTCACTGCGAGCCCGGCTGCCCCAGTGCCAGATCTCACATGCGTAGGGCCCCGTGTCGTCCCGCCGGGGGCTGTGGATGACCAGGGTCATGTTGTCATCTGACAGGGCCAGGTGCTCGCTGGGCAGGAGGGGCTGATCACTCACAAACCACTGGACCGCCACCCTCTGATGGGCGGTCTGGCAGGTCAGGTTCACGGGGCCGACGGTCTCCACGAGGTCCAGGCTCGGGGCCTCCACCTGAGGCTTGGTCAGGTTTTCTGGAAACACGCGGAGACACGGGTCAGATTCAAGGAAGCTTCCCCGCCCCCTGCCCACGGGGGCCCACAGGGGCTCCCCGGGGTGTGTGCATGTGTGTGTGCATGTGCGTGTTGTGGGTAGTGTGTGTGTGCTTGTGTGTGCATGTGTGTGTGTGTGTGTGCGTGTTGTGGGTAGTGTGTGTGTGCGTGTGTTCTGGATCGAACTGTGTGGTACATGTGGCACGTGAATCTCTCCTGTGGTCAAGTGTGTCATATGAATATTGTGTGTGGTGCACGTTTGTGTGTCTGTGAATGTGTGTTTTGTGCCTGCTGTGTGTGTTGTGTGTGTTGTGAGTGAGGTGTGTGGGTGGGATGGAAGGACACCTCGTGTGTGAGCCTGTGTTACACATGTGCATATGTTCTGCGTGCAATCGTGGGTGCTGTGTCTGCGGTATCGTTTGTGTTATGGGTGTGTGTTGTACGTTCTGTGTTTATGCTTTGTGTACGGCTGTGCTGGGTGTGAATGGCCTGTGTGTATATTTGGTGCAGTACGCAGTACGTTTTCTGCGTTATGTATCTTAAGTGTCTGCAACGTTGGGTGGATCCTGAGTGTGTTGTGTGTTATGTGTGTTCACGTTTCACGGGAGAGTGTGTTGTGTGTTCGTGGTATTGCTCGTTGTATACACGTACATGAAATTTGTATGTCTTATGTGTTGTTAAAGTATTGTGAATATGTGCGAGTGTATGGAGGGTTGTGGGTCTGTGTGCAGTGTGTGAGTGTTGCGTGTCTTGGTTATGTAATGCAGAGTATCGAGTGTGTTGCACACGCATATCTTGTGCATGCTCTACATGTGCGTGTTGTGTGCGTGCTGTGTGCCTACAGCATTGTTTCATGTGTTGTATATGAGTTGTGTGTCTGTGGTGTGTGTCGTATGGGTAAGTGTGCATGCACACGTGGTTATTGGGGGGCTGTGTGTGTAGGGAATGTTGTGTTAGTGTTACACATTGACAATCAACCCCTCTTCCACAGAATCCAGCCGTGGACAGCCATGGAGAGCCAACAGGGTCTCCTGGGGGACGTGCCCAGCCAGGGTCCGGGTCCTTCCCTGAGGTGGGAGTGCGACTCAGCCACCAGACAAGTGGGACGTACCCGCTCTCGGGTCCCCCTCCAACTCTGGGGTATTGGTGGGGCTCGGTGTAAACTGTTTTCTCAGCCCCCCCCTGAGGACCTCACTGCGGTCACTGACTCTTTCTCTAGGACACGGCACGTTTTCTGGGCCACCTGAGACCCAGCCAAGCATCTCTCTCACACAGAGTGGCCAAGGGCCCCAGATGAGACCTCCCGGTGGCCTCTGACGTGGAGGGCCTCTGATTCTGAGAAGAACAAAGAGGGGGACCAGGGAAGGGGACTCACCGAGGACGTGGACTCGAAGAGCACCCAGGCGGGTCAGGAGGGTGGCACTGTTGTACACCAAGCACCTGAACATGCCCTCGTGCTCCCTGGACACGGCGTCGATGGTCAGTGTCCCCGTGGTGGAAGACAGGGTGGAATTGTTGGGGAAAATCCAGGAATAGGTAGGGTCTGGGTGGGACTGCGCTTCCGCCTGGAAGTTCACGGTGGAGCCTTCTAGAACCTCGACCGCCTCCCCGCTGGGAATACCTGAATCCAACTTGATTTCGATAAGGTCGGGACCATCTGGGAGGACAAGAACAATGACAGCCGTTACAACGGCGTCGGCCACAGCTCTCTTGCAGGGGGACTCGGGATCCGTAAAGACCCCGTTCCCTCCTCCCGCTCATGGGCAAAGGAGGTGTGGGCTCCGGGTTAACGTCAGCTCCGTCCCCGGGTGAAGCAGGACTGGAAGGCCCAGCTCGGGCCAGCTGAGGCTCCCTGCCACGCCCGACCCAGGCAAGACCGTGAGGTTTGGGAGCTCAAGTTTAGGGCCATTTCGTTGGAGTTTCCAGTAGCCTCTGAGCAGAGATGTCAAACCGTTCCAAGTTCAAGTTCAAAGACAGACAGTTCTGCATTTGGTTGGGATTTAGGGTTGTGAGATTGGATGAGGCACCCAGGAACTGAGTGTCGACAAGGGACTGGGGACGGGGGACAGAAGGAGACTCACAGTTGACCTCCAGGAAGATGGCATCGCTGCTCTGGAACTCAAGGGCATCCCAGGCTTCACACTGGTAAGTCCCAGAGTCTTCCCGCTGGACCGTGAGGATGGTGATCGTCTTGCCATCCGCGGACAGCTGCATGCGCTCGTTCAACACCAGGGACTGATTCTGGAAGACCCAGCGGATGGTGACGTGGAGTTCCGTGGTGTCACAGTAGAAAGTCACCCTGTCCTTGTACTCTGTGGCTGTGCTCTGAGTGACTGAGATGGTGGGCTTGTCCGGGGATTCTGCAGAGGAAGCAAGCAAGAGACGGAGGTGGAGGCGGAGACTCAGACGGGGGAGAACGAGGGGTAGCCAGAGAGGGATCCAGGGATGGATCAGGACGGCCAGGAGACACACGGAGCTGGGCTCTCCGGGTTCTAGGTACGGGATCTATATCCCCTCTCAGACATTGTGCAAATAAAGCAGAGCATCTAGGACGTGAGAGGGGATCCGTCAATATCAGCTGCAAAGACAAGCAAGCTCGTCCCAACACCACTGAGGGCCCCCTAGCCCCTCTCAGCCAACACTCCTCTCCTGCAGCCGTAATGGCCACAGTCCACCCCGTTGCTCCTGTCCCCAACACAGCTACCTGGGCCCCTCACACTCATCCGATTGGGACTTTGGGTGCGGAACCCAGACGGTTGATCTCTGTGGAGGCCGAGATCAGGAGGACAGCCTTGTTCTCTGCCCACACCTCTGAATCTGCCATGGGCCTGGGGTGGCCAGTGGGGTCCCAAACACAGAACAACACCCTGCTCACTTGAGGTGGTGTCAGGCAGGATGGCACTGGGGGTGAGCTGGGCTGCCGCGGGAGGACTCCACGCTGTCAGAAGTGAGGCTGGAGGGGAAGAGGAGGCATTGAGGGAGGCCGAGGTCACAGATTCGGCGTTCCATCCCAAGAAGCTTGTCCTGCCCACCACTTCCTGGGGCTGTAACTGGGGACACGCTTGTCTCTTCTCAGAATCTCCATTTCCTCCACCGTAAAATGGGCAAAATATCATCTGCCTCCCGGGTGGGGGGTGGGGGGTAATAAATCTCGGCAAGCCGTCCCGGGGCTCCCCCACGGTCACTGTGTTCCCTTCGACTGCCCTTACTCCCTGGAGGTGCACGGGGGTCCTCCCCATTCCACAGAGAGGAAAGCAGTTGCTCAGAGAAGGGATGTCTCTGGCTAAGACCGTGAGAGTAAGTGGCAGAAGCTGACCTTGAGCCTGGCCTGCCACGCCCTGAAGACACCCTAGTCTGTGAACCCAGGTTAGGGACAGAGGGCAGCCCCTGATCGAGAATTTCCACTCTCACCTCCAGTGGGAGGGATTCACCTTCGCCACCTCCTCGGACGCGCCCTCAGGACACTCCCCATCTTCTAGGGGATGGGGAGGGACAAGGAACAAGGTCGCAGTTGTTCCCAGTTCTGCATGTGGCCCATCTGCACAGAGTCATGGAGGCTGGCCGGGGGGCTGGGGCGTGGCAGGCTGCGCTTGTGTGACACCCCGTCCCTCTCCACAGCCCAGTGAACAGGGGCTGTCCCCAAGCCCCTCGCCACCCTCAAAAGACCCCAGTTTGGCTTGAGCACTGCCCCTTTTCCCAGCATCTGGTGATGTCGGGCGTGGGCTCCCAGGACGGCTGGCATCAAATATGGCCTCTGGTGCTTACCGGCTCGACGGATGTGGGCAAGGGCTTGCTCTCTGTGAGCCTCAGTTTATTTCTATCTTTCTTTCTTACTTTCTTTATTTAGGTACCAGAGATTGAATCTGGGGTGCTCAAATCCCGAGCCACATCCCCAGCCCTTTTTATTTTTTATTTAGAGACAGGGTCTCACTAAGCTCCTTAGGACCTCCCTAAGTTGCAGAGGCTGGCTTTGAACCCGAGATCCTCCTGCCTCAGCCTCCCAATCTGCTGGGATTACAGGGTGTGCCACTGCGCCCCGGCCTCGGTTTCTTTCGATGGTAGTAGTGATGGAGCTGGCCTTTTTCTGCCTCTGATGCCATTGGAGGTTAAGGTCCCTGGCTCAATGAAACTGTCTGGGTTTCAATCACAGCTTTGTCATCTTTCTGGACAAGTGATGTTCTCTGAGTCTCAGTTTCTCCTTTTGTAAAATGAGGGTACCGATCGTTCCCATCTCACGTGACAGTCACAAGGACAAACGAAAAGACGTGAGAACATCTACGGTGGCCCTCGTCCTCAGACCTGCCTGAGATGGGAGCCTCCCTCTGGGGAACGCGCTCACCTGGCCTCCCCTCCTGTTTCCAACAGTCCTGACTTCCGCCCCATCAGGAGGAGGCAAGCCTTGAGAGACACTCATAGGCCCTGCTGCTCGCTCTCAGCTTCCCCAGGACCCCAAGTCCCCGCGGGCTTCCAGTCGGCCAGCAAGCCTCCAGCCCAGAGAGGGAGGAGCTGGCCTCAGAGTCACACAGCAAGGTGGGCAACGTCCCGGCTCTTCCCATGACCCACTGCAAAATCAGTTCTTCACCTCCAAAATGCTTTTCCTGTCCAGAGAGTCTCGTTTCTCCCTCATCTCAGATGTTCTTTCGGCATGAATTTCGCACCTGGGCCGTGTCCTGAAGCCTGGGATGGGCCCCTCACTCTGTCCGCCTGTCTGTGCTCCAGGGCTTTCTGTGGGTCTCTCTGTCTGTCTGCCTCCTCCCTCTGCACCCCCTCCCCGCCCCCTGTCTTCCTGCTGTCTCTGCTCTGGCTGCCCCTCTCTGCCCAGCTCTCCCTGGCCTTGCCTCTGGTTCACTTTCTACTTGATTTTCCCTTTTTCTCTGTCCCTCTCTGCTCCTGTGGCTCTCCCTGTCGTCAGTCTCTCCCGCTCCCACTACATGCCTCGGGCCTTTCTCTGCCTCGGTCTCTCTTTCTGCACATGCACGCACACACACACGCACACGCACACACATGCACACGCACACACGCACACACACACACACACACACACGCACACACACGCACACGCACACACACACCCACACCCACACACGCACACGCACACACACGCACACACACGCACACGCACACACACGCACACACACGCACACACACGCACACACACACGCACACACACACACACCTGGCAGACAGACGCGCGGAGCCCCTCACCCACCACCCCACCTGGGGACGCAGGGCTCACCTGAGAGCAGGATTCCCCTCCACGGGTGGCTCCGGGAGTCAGCAGGCCCCATGGGTCCCCGGCCCTGGCTCTAGGGTGCCAGGCCCTCTGTCTCCTTGGCTCCTTCCACAGACAGCTGGTCACTCCAGCCGCAGCCCACCAGCTGCCCTCCCGTCCCTCCTGCTCTGAGGCAAACTCCCCAGAACTGCGCTGACAGTGGCTCCCGGGCAGATGGGTGGGGGCGGGGAGGGAACTTTGGCCTCACCTCTGCCCTCCCACACCCCAGGGCTCACTTTCCTTCTGTCCCCAGCACGCAAGCAGGATTCCAGGATCCCCAGGACCAGGAACTGAGGTCACGACGGCCAACAACAATAAAAACAATCATGGCCAGGCACTCAGGGCTCAGCTGGGCTGGATGCCAGGCTCACAGGGAGCAGCCTGTAAAGATCAGATGAGCTGAGACTGTGCGTGTGACATAGGTCCTGCTCGTACCCACGGCTCTCAACTCAGACAGGAAGCAACTGGCCAGGGCTGGGAAAGCCCCGGGGAGGGCTTCCGCGAGGACCTGGAGAACATCTGAAGGTTTGGTACAGGAGAGTCACTTTTTTCTTTCTTTTTTATTTATTTATTTTGCTGAACAGGGTATTAAACCTGGGAATGCTCTACAACTGAGCTACAGTGTCTGTGTGTCCGCCAGGTTCAGATGTTGGAATCCCAGCCTTCGGGGCCGAGGCAGGAGGAGCGGGCCCTTGGGAGGCAGTTGAGTCCCTCCCACTGAGAGGAGTGACCTTGCCAACAGACTCTCCTTCTCTGATGGGGGTATAACGGGAAGAAGGGGGTCCGCAACCCCGATGAAGGCTGTCGCCAGAATCCTGGGCCAGCCCTGCTCCGGGCCCCCAGCCCCCAGGCCAAGAGCAGTGTCTGCAGCGCCGTCCCCCAGGCTGCCCGGGCAGCAGCGCCTGGTGAGCCTGTCCCGGAACAGCCAGGCAGGACCCAGCCCCGCAGGGACAGAGTCAGCCGGCAACCAACCTGAGCCAGGGGGACCAGGAGGACATGGTATGGGATGTGGAGAAGATGCTGAGGCTGGCCCTCGTCCCCGGGCGCTGCAGCAGTGGCTCTGACGGGCTGGACCACAGAAAGACAGCACCCTATGGGCACCCCAGGGGCACCCCATGTGGAGCCCCTCTGGCCCCGTGGGAGTTCTGGTGGGCAGGCCCGAGGGCCAGGCCTGCCATCAAGAGCTGCACCCGCCACTCGACGGTGGAGAAGAACCAGGCTCCAAGCCACGGCCCTCAGCTGGCCCCAGCAGGCACCGCCGCCTTGATCAGCCCCTTGCGCGACAGCAGGCTTCCCCGCTGTAGGGACCCGGGGCTCTGCAGACCCCACCCCCAGTCAACACGGAGAAGCTCTGGTTTCCACACACGCGGTGGAAAACTGACAAGTGGAACAGGGTGAGCGATGTCACCATCCATCTCGGGGTTTAAGTTGAGTTAGTGTACTGAGGCTCACGGAGGCAAGGTGACTTGAGAAGTCACCAAGTCTCTAGGACAAAGGGTTCTGGCCCCCCGGCTCTCGGCCCATGTGGCACTGTCGAAGGCCCAATCGTGGTGGTACCGAATTCCCCAGGTGCCCCGGGCTCCCTCCAGCCCCACCTTCTCTGCACACCTGGGTCAGTGAATCCTGGGGCCATGTCACCCGACATGCCCCCAGCTCAGTGCCCCCTGTGCTGAGAACACCTCTAAAATTTCTCTGGCCTCACCCCTCGCCCAGCATCCAAAGGTCCCCACCCCGTCTACCTCCTGGCTGCCGCCTTCCCCTCCGCACGGTCCCCCTGGGCTGGGGTCCCACCTCCTCCGACCCTCCTCCCCACCCAGAGGACAGAGCGGCCGCTGGAGTGGACCTCCCAAAGTGACCCTTTCATGCAGGACCAGGGTTTTTTCCTCCCTACATGCCCACCCACCCAACCCCCAGGGCAGATTCCATCTTTTCCTGTCCCAAAGAAGTGTATAGGAGGGACTTTGGGGACCTCCCTGCAGGACAGCTGCTGCTTTATTTTCAACAGGTAAAAATGAATAACCTCGGTCCTTCCCACCTCCCCCGTCACCTGCCAAGTCCCAGCCACACGGCCTGGCTCCAAATCGTGTCTTCCCTCGAGGGACCCAAGTGGCCTCCCAACACCCCTTCCCCCCCTGGGGCTGCCTTCCCAACCCACTCAGCTCAGCAGAGATGTGTGTGGCCCTACTGTGTGCTGGGTGCCGTTTTAGGTGCCTGAGACACACCAGCACATTTGCCACAGGTAAGGACAGGGACAGTTTCGTGTAGGAAGTGAGAGGCCCCCAGGAATCAGGACGTGAGAGAGAAAAATCAGTTACATGAGGACGACCCCCCCACGCAGCCAGGACCGTGCAGGGACTCTGGCAGGTCCTCTGAGAAATGCGAGTGAAGGTCAGAATTCCTATTTGAATGGTGAATTTCTGAATGTCACTTCAACCTGGGGTCACGTGGGCCACAGCTTCAGGTGGGTCCCACATGGAGGGTGAAGGAATAGTGAGATGTGGGCCAGGCCCAGGTGCACACCTGTCATCCCAGCAACTCAGGTGGCTGAGGCAGGAGGAGGGCAAGGTTGAGGCCAGCCTCCGTGACTGGGCGAGACAACTGGAAGGACTGGGGCGTAGCTCAGTGGTAGAGCCCTCGTGGGTTCCATCCCCAGGAGGAAGGACGGAAGGAGGAGGAAAGGAAGAGAAAGAAAAGGGAAGGGACAGGCGTGGAGAGGTGAGCCCGCATCCTAACGTGCTGGGCCGGCTGGCGGGTGGCGGGTGGTGTGGAAGGGGCCTGCCAAGCTGAAAGGGTTAACAATTTTTTTTTTTCTTTTTAAGGAAAGAGACTGAGGGTGATTCCAATCCTTACTCCACAGTAACCTCAAGTTGGTCAACACAGGCAGCCTGGGCCAAGACCGCTCCTGTTTTTGGTTGGGCGAGGAGAGGGCGCCTCTGGACAGGGTGTCTGTCCACTGCTGCTCCTAGGGCAGCTGACTGCCCCGGCTGGAGGCCAGGAGTCCCCGGCCAGCCCTATCCAAGAAGGGGACTTTCTGTTCTGGCCATGACATCCCAGGAAGGCCACAGGCGCCCCAGCTGTGGGGGGGACAGCTGGCTGTCAGTCCCGAGTCACTGCCCTCACTCGCTAACCTAGAAGCAGCCCCGCATCTCACTCCATGCCCCTCCCCAACTCGCCCCCAACCTCCTGTCAGCCACCCAGTCCTGGGGTCCCACCCATTAACTGACTCTCATCTCCTCCTTCTCCCCCACCCCCTCCTCTCACCCCTGCCCCGGCCTCTTCCCCGGCCCCAGTCCCTGGACTCACCCTCTCCGATCTGCCCGCCGTGCTGCTGACCACCTTCCCAAATCCCAGCTCTGAACTGGAGTCAGGGAGGTTGCAAGAGCCCTACTGACCCCAAGAAGCATGAGCTGCCTCAGTTCTTTCCGGGTGTATCCCGGGCCACAATCCCCTGGTCTCCACGTGGTGAACACAGAACTCCTAGCTCTGGCCTCTGGAGCTACCCCCTCAAGACTATCCTCAGCAACTCTGAGTTGGCCCAGAGATGCTGGCTCCTAGTGCACACACACACACAGACTCAGAATAATTTTCCTAGGTGCATTCAGGAAACTTATTTTCCTCTGAAGAATGCTTCATCCTTACCTTGCTGAGCTTAACTCCATAGGATTTCTGAGTCAGAAAGGAGAGAAGAATCGAATCCCAGGAGGAGGGTGGGAAAAGGACTTTCCTCTGCAGCTAAGCAAAAACCAGACCGTCTCCCACCCCACCTTCAAAAGGCGGAAAAAGAGACAAACAGATAAGGTCTCTGCTCCGAGGATGAGCCTGGGGTCCCAGAGAACCACAAAGTAGAACAAAGCTTCTGTTGCAATGGTGACTGGCGCTGGGGTCCATCCCAGCATGTCAGCTTATCTGATCTCTGCCCAGATGTGTGCAGGAATGAGGCAGCCGTGTGGCACCTTGGTTCCAGTCCCCATTGTTCTGTGCCAGCCTCTGTGTATTAGAAGGAGCCCCACAGCACAGCCGTGCAGGGTCCAGATGTGGGGTAGATAGGAATGGGTTCAAAGCCGAGCTCCCAGGCTTGCTAGCTGTGTGAGCCTGAGCAAGACACTGAGCCTTTTCAAGCCTCAGTTTCTTCTTCTGGGTAATGGGTATGGCCATAGCCCTCCCCGCTGCATGACCTGAGATGACGAGCTTTTGAATGTGATGTCTCTGCAGAGGGGGAAACAGGGCAGGTGCCTGGGGAATGAGGCTGTAGCCATTTTTCATGCTCCCACGAAATAGTGGCCAGGCAAAGCTACCAGGTCCTAAGGCCTGGAACCTGTAAGTGTCATCACATAAGGAAGAAAAGGGTGTTTGCAGGTGGATTAAGTTAGGGATCTTGAGGGAAGGAGATAATCTTGGATTATGCAGGTGGCTCCTAAATATAGTCACAAGGGTCCTTCCTCCAAAAAAGCAGAGGGAGATTGCACAAGTGGAGAGAAGACAGCAGCGTGGAGAGGGCAGAAAGAGATGGGGCCACAGCCACACAACACAGCCACCTCCGGAGCCTGGAAGAGAGGAGAGCAAATTCTCCCTTGAAGCTTCTGGAGGAGGCAGCACCGGCAGACACCTTGATTTCAGCCCAGCGGAGCTTCTGACCTCCAGAACTGTGAGGGAATAAAGGTTGCTTAAAGCCACCCAACACGCGGAAATGTGTTACAGTGGCCACAGGAAACACGATCCCCGTGGTCCTTTTTTAGGGGGGGCGGTGGTACCAGGGATTGAACTCAGGGGCACTTGACCACTGAGCCCCATCTCCAGCCCTATTTTGTATTTTATTTAGAGACAGGGTCTCACTGAGCTGCTTAGGGCCTTGCTAAGTGGCTGAGGCTGGCTTTCAACTCACGATCCTCCTGCCTCAGCCTCCCGAGCCACTGGGACTCATGGTCCTTTAATGCTGCAGAGCTCTTTCCCCCTCTAGGAAGCAGCTGTGTTCAGTTTAAGAATCACCTGGAACTGGTTTAAAATCAGGCTCCTCGG